ATTCAATTTCTCCATTATTTTAAAGCTTTCATTATTGACATCCTTCAAGTTTTTATTGTTTATTCCACAATATTTCTGATATAGTTATGAGTGTTGACCAAGATTTCTAGCTCACCTAGTTCTGCAGTCATTCAGTCCCAAAGAAAACACACAGAGGTCTACATTATAATTATAAACTAGTTGATCTAGTAGCTCAAGCTTCTTATTAACTCTTATAACTTATATTAATTCATAATTCTTATCTATGTTAGCCACATGGTTTTGTATCTTTTTGGCAAGGCAGTCACATCTCAATTGTTCTGTGTCTGGCTTCCTCTGTGTCTGGGTAATGACTGCAGACTGAAACTTCCAAATTTCTCATTGCCTCACCCTACACCCTGCCTGGTTGCCCTGCCTATACTTCTTGCCTGGCTACTGGCCAATCAGTATTTATTTAAAATATAAGTGAAAGGGTACAGACCATTGTCCCACAGCAAATGAGATTTTCTTAATTTTTTTCTCAGTGTTCTTAGTACATAGGGAAGCAACTGAGTTTTGGGTTACTTTTGCATTCTGCCATCTTGATGTAAGCATTTTCTGTGAAGTGTTTTGGTTTTCAAATATGGAAGCACATTTTTGGTTTCCTTTTTACCCTTTGACTCTTTGGGGAGCTCACCACCCAGCTCCCAAATAACTGCACACAGTCTTATTCTTAATTATGAATGCTTGGATTTAGCTTGGCTTTTATAGTCAGCTTTTCTTAACTTAAAATATCCTTGCCACGCCAGCATGGCAACTGTAGTTCTTCTGAGTGAAGGACATTGGGATTAACACACAGCACACTTCAGGTTCTGCAGACAAGCCTTTATTCCACTTTCTTACACAGTATATATAGCCCTCAGCAGGGGAGGCCGAGCCAGCAAAAGCAGGAAGCTCATCACTGTAACTCACATGGCTTAGGGGTAAACATCCTGAGATCAAGGAACTCAACAATTCCCCCCTTTTAATTTTAAAAATAGGAGAGCCCCTGCCTTAGGACTTCCTGGATAGAGGCTCTTACCCGTCTACAGGAGGCCTTAATCCCTGACTTGGGTGAGCTCTTTATACCAGAATAGTTGCCCATTGTAGGGATCCCTCATGACTTTTGCAGCATCTGCAGCCAGACTTGGGGCACTTCCTCATTACCAGAAGACAGCCCAAGCAACAATTGTCAAGTGGCAGTGTGCTGTATGTGGGGTTGCTGCGTAAAGTGGCAGAGAATTCAGAAACAGATAACCCCAATAGCAATATCAGTGTGAGTGAGAGCATTCCAGACAATCACTGGATCCAGCCCCCAAGCTGGGCTATGGCATTCCACCAACTGGATCCAGACACAGCAAGGACCCATGTGCTATTAATATTAACAATATGATGAGCTGTCTGCAGGGTAAAATTCAAAAAGGAGGAATTCCAAGGGCCATCAACAACATCAGAAACACTCACATCAGCAGGTGCGACACAAGCTGCACTACAAGAATGAGAACAAGACATCCACTGCAGGAGCCAAAGGGAATCCACCCACTCATGCAAAAGCATGCTCCACCAATCCAAATTCAAAAGTCCAAATCCAATATGAGAGTACAGAGCACTCCATGTCCACAGTGACTCGCTAACCCTTCCAGACAGCTGATCCACAGGCTTTGCAGTCACAGTTATCTGCGAAATGGCAGCTCCAGCAACTGTAGCCAGAATGGCAGCAACAGCAATAGCAGCAACAATTGCAGCTGTTATTCCAAAGTCTCACCACTGTCGATAAAGGATGATCTCCTGACGTTCTTGAGACAACAGCACCATCAGAGGAATCACAGCAGGGACTTGAATGATCAAAGCTCCATTAGAACCATCCCAACAATTAATTACTCAGCTTGGAGATACTGGAAGAACAATTAAGAATATTGCCCTCCAAAATACCATTCCACAATACAGAGAAAAATGTGGCAGGAACACAAGCAGAGGATCGAATAGTCATTGCATCCAGCAGTGTAAAAAAAATCAGGCTCTTGAGTAAAACATTTTCCCCACATAACTGTGGGGTGGAGATTAAAAACTCTATCAGCATCCCAACACCAAGGAGCTGCTTTGGGGCCATAGATATATGTTATATTTGTTTTATTTTTTATTTTTTTATTTTATTATTATTTTTTCTTTTTTCTTTTTTTATTTATAAAAGTTTATTAATTTATAAAAGTTTCCATTTCCACCCCTCCTCCCAACACCCTCCCACTACCCCCACTCCCTCTCCTCCTTCCTCTCCATCCCTAAGAGCAGTCAGGGTTTCCTGCCCTGTGGGAAGTTCAAGTTCCTCCCCTCTCCCTCCAGTTCCAGGAAGGTGAGCATCCAAACAGAATGGATCCCAAAAATCCAGTATATGCAGAGGAAACAAGTCCCAGTGTCATTGTCAATGGCTTTTCAGAAAGACTCCGGACCAGCCACATTCAGAGAATCCCGCCACATTCAGAGAATCCGGCCACATTCAGAGAACCTGGCTGGATCACGTGCTCGTTCAGTCCCAGTCCAACTGGCCTTGGTGAATTCTCATTAGATCAGTCCCCTTGTATCAGTGGGTGAACGCACTCCTCACGGTCCTGCCTTTCTTGCTCATGTTCTCCCTCGTTCTGCTCCTCATTTAGACTTGGGGGCACAGTCCAGTGCTCCAATGTGGGTCTCTGTCTCTATCTCCATCCATCAATTGGTGAAGGTTCCCTCTGGTCTTGCCTTCTTTGCTCATGTTCTCTTTCCTTTTGCTTCTCGTTTGAACCTAGGGAGTTAAGTCCAGTGTTCCAATGTGGGTCTCTGGCTCTATCTCCATCCATCGCCAGATGAAGGTTCTATGGTTATATGCAAAATATTCATCAGTATTGTTATGGGCCAAGGCCGGTTCAGGCACCCTCTCCTCTGTCCAGAGAACAATCTGGGGGGTCTCTCCTTGGTCCTGGGATCCCCTTTATAATCAAGTCCCTTGTAAACCCTAAAATGACTCCCATAGTTGAGATATATACTTCCCTGATCCCATATCCACCCTTCCTCCCTCCTCCCATCCCAATCCCCCGAGCTTTCCCCATTCCTCCCCTATTCCTTTCTCTCTAACCCTCTCCCCTTCCAACAACCCCTCCACCCCTCCATGCACCTGAGGTTGCCTGGCACTCTTGTCTATTTCCAATCTCCAGGAGGATAACTACATGATTTTCTTCAGGTTCACCTTCTTATTTAGCTTCTCTAGGATCACGAATTATAGGCTCAAAGACCTTTAATTATGGCTAGAATCCACTTATGAGTGAGTACATACCATATTCCTCTTTTTGGGTCTGGGTTACCTCACTCAGTAAAGCGTTTTTATTTGCATTCATTTGCATGCAAAATTCAAGATGTCATTGTTTTTTACCGCTGAGTAAAACTCTAATGTATATATGTTCCACACCTTCATTTTTTTTTCACGTTGACATTACCAAATTTATTTTCTCTGAAGTTGAGCGATTATCATCTTAACATTAGTTATAGACCCTTTTTTCTTTTTCTTTTTTTTATTTATTTTTTTGAAAGTAATTTTATTAAATTATAAAAGTTTCCAACACCCTCCCACTTCCCCCACTCCCTCTCCTCCTCCCTCTTCGTCCCTAAGGGCAGTCAGGGTTTCCTGACAGCCTAGGAAAACCCTGTCCGCTACTCCTTCTTTCTCAGATCTCGGTGGGACCTCCACTTTGCTGTGCCAGCATGGCAGCTGTAGTTCCTCTGAGTGAGGGACATCGGGATTAACACACAGCACACTTCAGGTTCTGCAGACAAGCCTTTATTCCACTTTCTTACATAGTATATATAGCCCTCAGCAAGGGAGGCTGAGCCAGCAAAAGCAGGAAGCTCATCACTGTAACTCACATGGCTGAGGGGTAAACATCCTGAGATCAAGGAACTCAACAATTCCCCCCTTTTAATTTTAAAAATAGGAGAGCCCCTGCCTTAGGACTTCCTGGATAGAGGCTCTTACCCGTCTACAGGAGGCCTTAATCCCTGACTTGGGTGAGCTCTTTATACCAGAATAGTTGCCCATTGTAGGGATCCCTCATGACTTTTGCAGCATCTGCAGCCAGACTTGGGGCACTTCCTCATTACCAGAAGACAGCCCAAGCAACAATTGTCAAGTGGCAGTGTGCTGTATGTGGGGTTGCTGCGTAAAGTGGCAGAGAATTCAGAAACAGATAACCCCAATAGCAATATCAGTGTGAGTGAGAGCATTCCAGACAATCACTGGATCCAGCCCCCAAGCTGGATGAATATTTTGCTTATCACCATAGATCCTTCATCTGGCGATGGATGGCGATACAGACGGAGACCCACATTGGAGCACTGGACTGAGCCCCCCAAGGTCCAAATGAGGAGCAGAAGGAGGAAGAAAATGAAAAAGGAAATAAGGACTGCGAGGGATGCTATCACCTACTGATAAGGTGGGTGATAAGGGGACTGACAAGGGGACGGATCTAATGAGAGTTTACCAAGGCCAGTTGACTGGGACTGAGCGAGCATGTGATACAGCCAGATTTTCTGAATGAGGCCGGATTCTCTGAATGTGGCTGGCCTGGAGTCTTTCTGAAAAGCCATTGACAATGACACTAGGACTTGTTTCCTCTGCATATACTGGATTTTTGGAATCCAGTCTGTTTGGATGCTCACCTTCCTGGACCTGGAGGGAGGGGCGAGGAGTTTGAACTACCTACAGGGCACGAGACCCTGACTGCTCTTGGGGATGAAGAGGGAGGAGGGGAGGGAGTGAGGAGAGTGGGAGGGGGTTGGGAGGAGGGGCAGAAATGGAGACTTTTGTATTTTAATAAACTTTGAGGGAAAAAAAGAAGTATGCATGATACTTCTGTGCATTATCATAAGTAGAAACAATAGCAATCACTAGCTGATACATGCATCTTGCATTTTATTGTAATATGTGGATCTGCATCAACACTACAGCTGTCAGTTACAATTTACGAGATGTGTGTTCAGAAAGATGTTTTTTCCCTTAATTTTTGAAGAGAATTTCTCTCTGGTCTTAACAAAATTATGTAGCACTTGGGGACAAAGATGCATCCCAGTAGGCCTGCACTGGAAATCAGAATGGATAAGACCTCCACAACCACCATGACCTTGCCCTTGGTGCTATGGTAGACTGGGATAAATGTGACCCAGACACTGCAGAACAACAGCATGCTGAAGGTAAGCAACTTGGCTTCATTGAATGTATCAGGGAGATTCCTGGACAAGAAAGCCACAATGAAGCTTGCTAAGGCAAGGGAGCCATGGTATCCCAAGACACAGTAGAATGCAGTCTCTGATCCCTTGTTGCACACAATGATGATTTGGTCATGCTCAGAGTGTACATCATGGTCAATAAAGGGAGGAGAAAATTGAAGCCAGATTACACAGAGAATAATTTGGATGAGGGTACAGATGACAATGATGTAGTTAGGTGCCCCTGAAAGCAGGAAGGACCTTTTCCTTTTTCCAGGGGCTGTGACTTTGAAAGCCAGCAGCACAGTCACTGTTTTGGCCAACACGGTAGAAACAGCCACAGTGAATACAACTCCAAATGTGACTTGCTGTAAGATACAGATAGCTGAGTTGGGATACCCAATGAAGAGCAAAGTACAGAGGAAACAAAAGATGAGTGAGATGAGCAAGATGTAGGTGAGATTCCGGTTGTTGGCCTTCACAATGGGAGTGTCACGATGTTGCACAAACACCCCAAGAATCACAGCTGTGAATGTAGAGAAGCAAAAGGCCATTAAAGCAAGAGTCATCCCCACAGGGTCTTTGTAGTTCAGAAAGACCACAGATTTTGGAATGCACTGGTTCTGTACTCTGTTGGCATACTGGTCCTCTGGACACCTCACACATTTATCCACATCTGATGGAGAACAGATAGCATGATTGGTGCAACTTAAACCATTTATTGACAAGATATTTCAATTAATTTTGTTGAAGAAACATTGCAATATTTGTATTTGTTGCTCATGATGTAGTTGAAGGATACTGCTGCATAGCAATGCTTCCATTTCATAATATACATTTCTTATCATTATGGGCAATGAATCAAACAATAACTATATTTCCTATTTAATTATTTGTTGATGATGTCATTTGTTATGTTATCAAAAAGCACTGCTGTGGGATATACTCTTGTACTCTGTAAAGATTTGTCCCTTGAAATGGTTTAATAAAACACTGATTGGTCAAGTAGCCAGGCAGGTAGTAGGGGGGGGGCAACATGATTAGAATTCTAGGAAGAGGAAAGGTTCAGTCTTCAGTTAGCAGTCAGATGCAGAGGAAGCAAGATGAGAATGCCTTGCTGAGTAAGATACTAAGTCATATGGCTAAACATTGGTAAGAAGTATGGGTTAATTTTAGTTGTGAGAGCTAGTAAAAGATAAGCCTGAGCTAATCAGCTAACCAGTTTATAATTACAGTAAGCCTCTCTGTTTTGTTGGGACTGAACAGCTGTAGGACTGGGCAGGACAGAAACTTCCATCTATAAATGACATCCAATGTTTGGCAAGATTTTCCATATAAAACCTGAGAAAGCCTTAGAAATAAAGGATTATAGATAGACAAAAAAAGAAATTCAAGCACAGATTCTTGGTAGCAGCATTGTCTCAGGTAGGCTCTGTTTGCTAGAGGAGAGCAGAGGCATAGCTACTTTAAGAAAGGCTTCCTGACTCAGCATTAGCAGAAACCTTGCAGCTCTTTTAAGAGACCCTACCACCATACACTTTAATAGTGTTGATGAGTAGCCACCAGAATGCTTCTTGTTGATGGTATGGAACTAGAAACACCACAGAATTATGGTTAAAAAAACTAGGCTTCTGTCAGTACCTCCACCATGAAGTTTGACTCTCAGGAAACCAAGGAATGAGGTAGATCCAGTCATCAAAGTAGCATCTTTAATCCTAGCCATGTTGTTTGATAAATTAAGGACTCATGAGGTCAGTAAAAGAGAGATATACAGTAAAGATAGTTTAAGATGAGAAAAAAAACTCTAAATGATTTGCAGTGTGTTTAGAAATGTGTATAGGCTTGGGAGAGGAAAGAAAAATGATAGAGAAAGTCCTTCAAAAAAAGCAATAGTGCTGTGGGACAATGGTCTTGTACCCTGTAAAGGTTTGTCACATGTAGTGGCCTAATAAAATGCTGATTGACCAATAGCCAGGCAGGAAGTATAGTCAGGGTGACCATAACAGGAGAATTCTGGGAAGAGGAAAGGCCCAGACTGAAGTCAACACCCAGACACAAAAGAAGCAAGATGAGAATGCCTCATTAATAAAAGGGACCAAGTCATGTGGCTAACACAGACAAGAATTATGGGTTAATTTAAGATATAAGAGTTAATAAGAAGAGTGAGCTAATAGGCCAACTAGTTTATAATCAATGTAAGCCTCTGTGTGGTTTTTTGGGGGGGACCGAATGGCTGCAGGACCAGGAAGGACACAATAGAGTAGTTGGGTATGGTGGTACATGACTTTAATCTCAGCACTTGGGAGGCAGAAGCAGGTTGAGCTCTGTGAGTTCCAAAACAGCCAAAGATACACAGAGAAAAACTTGTCTTAAAACACTGAAAATTAAAAATAAAGATTAAATAAATAGAGTAAAAAAGAAGAAGCTATGTAAAGATGGAAAATATACAAAGAATCTGGATACTGTGTGCTATTGTGCTGTTTTTAAATTTTTTGATTGGTGAGGAAGGAACAACAGCTACTAAAAGACATTTGATTATAAATTTTGCTGAATGAATCCAGCCTATATATTTTGAAAATGCCTTAAATTCAAAATTTAAGGCAAAAGATATGTTACTTTGAAGAAGAGGTTTTGCTTTAGCTTACACAGAAAATGACAGGTTGTGGGTCCATTCTCGGTTAAGAAAAATCAGGTTTGATTGAGAAAGAAATCCTGAAGAATCTCCTATAGGAATTGATGAACATGATGATCACAAGTTTCAGAGCACCTATGTTTCAGTTTCCTGTGAGTTCTACAACCAGAACAGCCTCAAGACTGCTATCTGAGATAATCCTGCCTCACAAAATATTCCTGTGAGGACATTACCATTATCCTAATTTTTCTTTGGGTTCCCATGAGATCATCAGTGACCCTAATCAGCAGGAAATAGCATAAAAAACTACACCCACATTCCCCAAAAATGGATTATGGATATTTGTCTTTGTTGAGAATGTTAGTTATAAGTTGTTAAGGATAATGATCAAGAAAAAATTTTTTAAAAAGATTAGATTCAGAGATCTTATTTTGAAAAGAAAAAAAAAGAAATTGCTGTTAGATAATGCTCATGTACCCTGTAAAGATTTGTCACTTGTTTTAGTTTAAAACACTGATTGGCCAGTAGCCAGGCAGGAAGTATAGGTGGGGCAACAGAGCTAGGAGAATTCTGGGAAGAGGAAAGGCTCAGTTTGCAATCACCAGCCAGACACAGAGGAAGCAACATAAGAATGACTCACTGAGTGAGATACCAAGCCACATGGCTAGACATAGTTAATGGGCCAGACAATAGTTACATACTCCTTTAACCTTAGCACTTGGGAGGCAGAGGCAGGCAGATCTCTGTGAGTTCAAGGACAGTCTGGTCCACAGAAGCTAGTTCCAGGCCAGGCTCCAAAGCAAAACAAAACAAACATAGACAAAAATTATGCGTTAAATTAAGTTGTAAGAACTAGTTAATAATAAGCCTGAGATAATAGGCCAACCAGTTTATCATTAATATAAGTCTCTGTGTGTTTTATTGAGACTGAATGGCTGTGGGACCTGGTAGGACAGAAACTCCTATCTACAAAGCACAAATATTTACAGTATATTATGAATTCTATGATAAAATGATTTAAACTGGTGAATTGACAGAGGTTAAAAACTTAATCATTACATGTCGTAGAGTGCATTTGGAAGTCTCAAAAGCCATGATTGCAGTGCCTCCTGATATCATTCTATCTGTTGTATGAATACTCTGCCTGAAATAGATAGAGACTGTGTCTTCTATTGGAACTAATCGTGATATGTTTTTGATATAGGATTTCCCTCTGTACACTGTGAATACCATTTGTTAATAAAGAAAATGTCTTAGGCCTATATAAGGCAGAACTGAGGTAGATGGGGAAAACTAAACTGAATGCTGAGAGAAAGAAGGCAAAGTCAAGGAGAAGCCATGTAGCCCTGCCAGAGAAAGATGCTGGATATAACTTTACCTGGTAAGCCACAGCCACATGGCAATACACAGATTAATAGAAACGGGTTAAATTAAGATATAAAAGTTAGCCAATAAGAAGCTAGAGCTAATGGGCCAAGCAGTGATTTAATTAATACAGTTTCTGGATGGTTATATCTGAGAAGTTGGGAAACAAACAAGCAGCCTCATACTAAAAATGACCTGTCAATGTGGTCAAGTAAATCCATGTAAATCCTGAGAAAGAATTCTAAACACACACACACAAAAAAAAAAAAAATTAAGAATTTTCTCAGGTGGTCTCTGTTTGTTAGAAGCAAAGGTCTGGCTACAGAGCATTTAAATGGAGTCTGTGAGCAGAGCGATACAGCTTTCTTAATGGAGACATAGACCCACTGTGTGCCTAAAAATGGAGCAATGTGCTTGACTCTCAGAGGCAACAAACATGCCTCGGGTATGTTGGACTGGGTGGAGCAAGCACGCAGGGCGGTGTTGTCCCTAACCATGCTCACTTTAAAAAGAAGCAGCTATGGTCTGAAAAGGATTACAGATGCACCGTAAGGACAAATTCAGATTAAAAAGACCTCTAAATGTGTCACAGTAATAGATAAATGTATGTAGGTTTGGGAGAGAGAAGAAAAAGAGTATAGAGAGTTATAAAAAGAAATAAATGGCTTTTTTAAAAAAAGAAAGTCTTTACAGAGACAGAGTACAGACAGTCCTAGATTAAAGGAGTAAAGACAATAAAATAAATATTAAGAAGTAATAGAGCAAAAACAAATAAACCACATAAAGATGGAATATACACAGAGAGTTGCTTACAATGAATTTCCTGTTTACATAGGTAATATATTTTTATGGAGTTTTTGATGGAGTTGGATAATATATAGTAATAGTTTTCCTTAGTTATGATAAAAGACAAAATAGATATAAATATTGTAACTATAATTCTTGTTTGATAACTGTTTTATGTAACTTTGCTATGTTAAAGTTAAAACCTTCCTTTTTATTAAACAGAAAAAAAGAGATGATGTGGGATTCCCCTCTGTATGCTGTGAATACCATTTGTTAATAAAGAAACTGTCTTAAGCCTGGACAAGGCAGAACTTAGGTAGGTGAGAAAAACTACTGAATGTTGAGAGAAAGATGGCAGAGTCAAGGAGAAGCCATTTAGCCCTGTCAGAGACAGACAGCTGATAAAACTTTACCAAGTAAGCCACAACCATGTCGCAATACACAGATTAATAGAACTTGGTTAAATAAAGATGTAAAAGTTAGCCAATAAGGAGCTAGTGCTAATGGGCCAAGTAGTGATTTAATTACTATTGTTTCTATGTGATCATTTTGGGTCTGAGCTGCTGGGCGGTTGGGAAACAAGCAAGCAGCCTCATACTACACATTTTCTAGTTTGAATTCACCAGTCACAACACATTGGCATAGAAACAACACTAAACGGAATATGTAGGGATCCTTGGAGTCAACACATAACGCTCCAAGTCCAAGTTCTCAACCAAAAGGAAAATTATTTGCCCCAGAGGACAACTGGTAGGGAATAAGAGGAAAAGATAGGAAATAGAAAATGGAGGAAAAGGGGAAAGAAACAAGAGAGAAGATGATGTGGTTTTTGACCAGGGAGGACAGAGAACTGTCTCTGGATAGAGAGGAGACAGTAGTCTATAGGACTATATCAGTTTATAAAGATAAAGGGGAAATCCCATGTTAGGACAAATCATTTAATTTTGATTGGACAGGTTAATTATGACAACCACAAGGGAGTTTTTGCTAGTTGAAATTAAGCACATTGATAGCTTGTCTTTTGGTCTTTGATAGTAAGGCTCACAGAAAGAAGTGACCAAAAACGGTATGTATCTTGGTGACTAGGTTTAGGAATACAGTAGCCTTGTTAAAGTTTCTATTGCTATGAAGAGAAACCATGACCACACTAGTTCTTAGAAAGGGAAACATTTAATTTGGTGTCTTATAGTTTAGAGATTCAGTCTATTATCATCATGCTGGGACATGCTGGTATGCAGACTGGAGAAAGAACTGAATATTTACATCTTTGATCCATAGGCAACAGAAAGTAAACATCATAATTGAGACCTCAAAGTCTGTCTCCACTATGAAACTTCTTGTATTAAGACCACAACTATTTCAACAAGGCCATAGCTCCTAATAAGGCCAATTACTATCACTGTTCAAACTATCATTGTAATCTAATGGATTTTAGCAAGGCAAAGGAATCGGGGGAAACAGGGCTTGTTACAATCATAATTGTCATGCTCTGGAAGGCTAGAGTCCCTTCAGAATTAGTAAGCCATGTGAGTATGTGTGTGTGTATGTGTGTGTGTATTTACATATATGTATGTGTAAAAGTAATATGAGAGTGATTTCATTTATGTGGGGGATGTAGTAGGGTGAGAATGTGAGAAGAGAGTTATATAAATACAATTTTTGTCTTTTTAATGCAAAATATATTAAATAAAATAGAATAAATGTCTTCAGTTTTGTCCCCGTCTGGCAGTAGGGATGCTTTATCCCTGAGTCTTGTTCATAAGAAGCAGTAACCCTATCCTGAAGGTAGAAACATCTGTACATACTTAGCATTAAAAAGCTCTCCCTTTTGATTCCATCACCTCTGAGGACAGACAAATGCCTTCCTCTTTCCCTAATGTCCATCTCTGTTAGATCTCTGTGAATGTACTCAGGTATTTATCTCAGAAGAAAATACTCACTTGTCTCATTAGAAACTTCATTTTGTGGGCAGGGGCTGCAATCAAAACAGCAGTCTGCCATTCCCTCCTGTGAGAATTTTCTGAATCCAGGACCACAATCAGCATTGCACACAGAAGGTGGCATCTGAAGGAAATCAGGCGCATGCTGGTATCAGGAGTTTGATCTACTCCTTCTATAACAATATCATATTCTCATGTTGAAATACCAGTAAGTTTTTTACTTGCACCAAATGAGTAACCACATTAAACATAATGAGTTTTATAACACCAAGCACGTGAATGCATACAAACAAACTGATGTAAAGTTGAGTAGCTTCTCAATCCTAGAAATTTAGGAAGAAGAATGGTTTATTTGCTGTGGGCAAACACCATGGAGCTTGCAAACCGCTTTTTTTATTTAATTTTCGTTACTTTGACAGAAAGTACATTACAAAATTAGAGGGAACTTTAGCTAGAATATTTCTCTCCATTGTTTTAGCCTACTATCAAATTATTTAAGCATTTTATTAATAGGTAATTGATATAGGACTGCTCAGCCCACTGAGGACAGTGCTGTCCCTTGTCTGTGCTGTATGAGAGCTCAAGCATAGAAAACCAGTAAGCAGTGTTCCTTCATGCTCTATGCTTTAGTTGCAGACTACAGATTCCTGCCTTGTCATCCCTTTACTGTAACCCACAAGCTAAATCAAACCTGCTTCTCAACTTGACTATGGTTAGTGTTTAATCACAGCAACAGCACCAAAAGCTAGGATAAATGGACACCTGAAACAGGGGCAATAGCTCTTAAAATAGCAGATAGCACACATGAACTCCAAAAATATCACAGCAAAGCATGACAGAGTGTAAAGAGAAACAGAGCTAAATAGGAAGAGCATTGTGCATCTGTGGTGAGGACGTGCTGAACTGATGTGTATTGAGCTAGAAGGTGGAGTGTTTCCTGATGTGAAGTGCTTTACAAAGACTGCAAAGGCAATCTGAATAAAGTTTAGATTATTTTAAAGTTAATTGGGGGATTTCTTAAATACTAAAATAAAAACCTTTGTATACTCAAAAACCTGGTGATAGAGCTCTATAAACTGCTTCAGAGAGCTGCCAATGGTTGGGTTCTCACTCTGCATACTTTGTTCAATATTGAGTTCTGTGTCAAAATCACATTGTCTCCTGTGCATGGGCTCCTTCATGTTCTCCCAAGTCCCTACTGCATCCCTAGCCGCCAGCAGAGAGCTGGCTTTCAAGCCGTCAATCCACCCCGCCCCCAACCCGCCATTCCCTGCAAGTTCTGTGGAGACCAAAACTTGGTGGACATTAGAGGTGAGTCAGCAGTGGCCCTGGGACCCCAAACCACCCACACCCTAAAACCTCCACGTGGGAGAAAAGCCAGGGGAACTTCTCCCCAGGTCCCTTCGGGATCCCTAGCCAAAAGCAGGGAGCTGGCTTGCTAGACATCAATCCACCCCGCCTCCAACCTGCCATTCCCTGAGAGCTCTGTGGAGACCAATATTTGGTGAACATTAGAGGAAGAGATGAGAAAGCACCAATACAAGAATTCCTCCCCAGGGAACAATCTGGGAACCTCTCCTTGGGCCTGGGAACCCCTCCAGAATCAAGTCTTGTAAACCCCAAAATGGCTCCCTTAGTTGAGATACACACCTCCCGGCTTCCACATCCATCCTTCCTCCCTCCCCCCATTCCACTCCCCCAAGCCATCCCCAATCCTCCCCCTCTCCCTTCTCTCCAACCTCTTGAGGTAGGTTGACTCCCAGTTTCCTGAGAAACCGCCACACTGATTTCCACAGTGGCTGCACAAGTTTGCATTTCCACCAACAATGGATGAGTGTTCCCCTCACTCCACATCCTCTCCAGCATAGGCTATCATTGGTGTTTTTGAGTTTAGCTATTCTGACAGGTGTAAGATGGTATCTCAAAGTTGTTTTGATTTGCATTTCCCTGATCGCTAAGGAGGTTGAGCATGACCTTAAGTGTCTTTTGGCCATTCGAAGTTCAGCTGTTGTGAATTCTCTGTTCAGTTCAGTACCCCATTTTTTAATTGGGTTAATTAGAGTTTTAGTGTCTAGTTTCTTGGAGGAGAGGGTGCCTGAACTGGCCTTAGCCCATGACCATACTGATGAATGTTTTGCATATCACCATAGAACCTTCATCTGGCGATGGATGGAGATAGAGACAGAGACGCACATTGGAACACTGGACTTGACTCCCTGGGTCTGGATGGAAAGTGGATAGAAGGAGAGTGTGGGCAAGGAAGGCAGGATCGGAGGGAACCTTCATCCAACGATGGATGGAGATGAGACAGAGACCCACATTGGAGCACTGGACTGAGCCCCCAAGGTCCAAATGAGGAGCGGAAGGAGGGAGAACAAGAAAAAGGAAGTCAGGACCGCGATGGGTGTGTTCACCCACTGATACAAGGGGACTGGTCTGGTGGGAGGTCACCAAGGCCAGCTGGACTGGGACTGAACGAGCGTGTGATCGGGCTGGATTCTCTGAATGTGGCTGACATGGGGGCTGACTGGGAGGCCATTGACAATTGCGCTGGGTCTTGTTTCGTCTCCATGTGCTGGCTTTCTGGGATTCTGGTCTGTTTGGATGCTCACATTCCTGAACCTGGAGGGAGCGGGGAGGAACTTGGACTTCCTGCGGGGCAGGAGGCTCTGACTGCTCTTGGAACTGGAGAGGGAGGAGGAGAGGGAGTTGGGGGAGTGGAAGGGTATTGGGAGGAGGGGAGGAAGTGGAAATTTTTTAGAAAGAAAGAAAGAAAGAAAGGAAGGAAGGAAGGAAGGAAGGAAGGAAGGAAGAAAGAAAGAAAGAAAGAAAGAAAGAAAGAAAGAAAGAAAGAAAGAA